TTATTATTTACATCTTGAAAAAAAATTGCTACTTAAATTAGAAGTGAAAACTAGTCTGTGTCACCTTTTAAACGTTGTACTAAGTCATGTAGGTAGCTGGAATCCTCTTAAGTATAGAAATTTGATGTTCATATGACATAACATGGTTTGAATTTTAACACCCTGAATTTTATTTCAATTGTCAAGGCCGTATGAAAACTGAGGAAGGGACTGAATATTGGTTTGATGCTAAAGAAGAGCTGACAATGTCAGATTTTCCAGTAATACCTGAAGAAACGAAAAAGCAACAAGAAAAGCAAGGCACGGGTGATTTAAGAGTCGTGTGCTTTAAGCTGACATTCCCAATAATGGTGTTTTTTTATTATTTGAGTAGCCTGTTCCTTCTACAAGCATAAGTAAACTTGGAAAAAATGCCAGCTGGGTTTTCAGACTTATTTTTTCATTGACTTACGGTGAATCCTTGTAGATAACTCAGCTGTTTTCATCCATATTTTTCCTTGAAAACTTTACCTGCAGTGGTTAAACTCAAATTAGTAAATGTCCAGCCAATCACATAGGTAGAAATCTTTATTTTTTTTTCTCCTCCTTCCCTTCCTTCCCATGCTGGATTACTAAGAGTTAGCTGAGAATGGTCTGTGTTTGGACACTTGAGTCACAGTGACTGGCATGGTGAGAAGTCCCTGTGTGTTGAAGGCAGAGAGCTTGGGGGCTCCCCTGCCCAGCCTTCAGCAGTGCTACCTTTAGTTCAGAGCAGTGTTTTCTCTGCCTCTTTTGCCTTTTCAAACCTCAGGAAACACTCAGGGAAAAGATATTTCACAAACTGAACTGTTGTGCTTCTCAGGGGACTCATTTTCTGTTAGAAGATCCTCTTCATTCTCTTAGGTTTTTTTCAAAGGTTTTCTCTCTAGGCGTTCCAAAATTTACAGAGAATATGTCAGCTAGAACTGAAACAAGAATAATTGTAACTGTTTGCTTTCTTACATTTATTATTAGAAGCGAAGACAGTGCAGAGTGGGAACGAACATTCTTCTGTTCATGTTGGTGGCCCAAGTTCCTCAGTGTTGGAGGTATGTCTGTTCTTAGTTATGTTGTAGTAGTAATGTCTTGCCTCTTTAATGAGTTCATCCATACATTTGCTGTCAAGTTCCCTGATATGAAATCACCTACTGAAGAGTTGGTACATTCTTTGCTTGGAGATAATCAAAAGGTAAATAATTATTACCAAAGCTCCTCTCTGTGGCAGACTAAGAGCATTAAAACTTCTTGTCTCATCAAATGTTACATTTAATATGTAGAGAATGATGTTAGGATAGGAAAATGTGTTATGTATTGGTAATAAATTTCTGGCATGTGACAGAAGAGTGAGAGCTCTATTGCTGCATCAAATCGTGACTTTTCTTAAGACAGTTGGGAACTTACCCATTTGCACTAGATTTTTCAGCTTGTTTTTCTCCCCTTTTGAGTAACACCTTTTTTTAATGTGAATGTCCTGAGATTTTATACAGGAAAGATTTTGGGGTACTGGATTGGAAAGAAATTGTAGGATTTTTTAGTAGAAATCTAAGAAATATCTGTACAAATACAGGATTTTGTCTTGGCTCAGCTTGGCCCTTGGATGGTAAACGCCAAATTAGTACTTGCTGGTATTGCTCTCATAAACTGCACAGATTTGCTGTCTTTGGGGATTTCTCTTTAAACATGCTAGTCCTTTGGGAAATGGTAATTGGATCTAATTTAAAGTAGCAGGAATGTAAGTTACTCATAAATGCATGTAGTAGTTTTATTTCTAATTTACAGATTGGATAACACGAGTGGTTGTATTGGAATAATTTACTAATCTGAGTCTGTATCATTTGGGTTTTTTCTTATTCAAACTGGTATCAAACTGAAAGAGAGCAGGTTTAGGTTAGATATTAGAAAGAAATCCTTCCCTGTGAGGGTGGTGAGGCCCTGGCACAGGTTGCCCAGAGAAGCTGTGGTTGCCCCATCCTTGGAAGTGTCCAAGGCCACATTGGATGGGGCTCTGAGCAACCTGGTCTAGTGGAAGGTGTTCCCTGCCCATGGCTGGGGGGTGGAACTGGATGGACTCTATAATGTCCCTTCCAACCTGAATCCTTCTGTGGTTCTATGACTTTATATTTATTTGTAGGAAAGATTTGTTGTATGACGTGTACAATACTTAACCCATTCACTTTTTCCTTATTTTGATGCAATTCTAGGATACTGGAGAAAATTCCCTGCAGAAAACATCTTATTCTTACAGCATTGAACCAGGTGATATCTTTAATTCTCCTTATGCACTGAACTTGAGTAGCTTTACCAAGCTGATTAAGAGACTTCAAGCAACCCATCCAGAGGCTAGCAGGTGAGAGTTCTGGGGTTTCCTTTCTGCTCTGGCTTGTAATGGAGCCAATATCCATGGTAACTAAGTGCTAAATGTATTGCACAAAATGTGATGTGTAAACAGTTATTTCTTTCATTTCCATAGAGACCAAATTGTGGAGGCTATTCAGCAGGTGAGGAAAAACAACAAAGGTATGCTATGTGGCTTGGCCATCAGTACTATTGAGGAAAGGACCTCTGCCATTCTGAGGAAATCAATGCCCAATTGTGGGCAGGAAAAGCAGTGAAAAACAGTGAGTATTCCAGCCTGCAGAAATACATCAAAATAAACCCACTTGAATTTGCATAGCTCTATAGCCTGACTAGATTATCAGCTCTACAAGAAGTACCGAAGTGAATCCACTGAAACACTGGTTTCTAAGCATTGGGAGCTGTCTCACAGCACACCTGTAGAACTTGGTGTGCCGGGGGTTAACTACTAAACTGCTTTACTGATTAACTTTGTGGAGGGTGTTGTCACACATAGTCTGCACAAAGGTGACATCTAATGGCCGGCCCTGGCCTAGCCCTTCATAAAGAAATCCCAGCACGGGACCAGTTTTGGTTCAGAAAAAATGGTGACTTCTCTCTGATGGCTGATGTTCAGCTCTGGAGTAGAAATCTGACAGAACCAGATTGTATGTCTTGTAGTTTTTTCATGTTAAGCACTTTGCACGATGATACAGCACTGCAGGAAGCTGCAGCGAGCTGAACATGCTGTAACCCCAGCCCGGAATTCCCGGGATGTGTGTATCTGTTCTCCTGTAGGAGACATCCTTGTTTTAGTCTCCTACTAAGCTTGGTACCCTGTTTGCTTTGGGTACCTATGGATGCCTTTAGGAACCTGCTAGCAGTGCCACTACCAGATTTCCTGCAAAAAGTGTTAGTCTACTGACTGAATTCCACTGGACTGACACGAACTCATGCCTAAAATATAAAATTTTACACTTGAGATTGTTGTCAGTCAGTAAGTTTTAACAGCCTCAAAACATGTTCTGCTTTCCTTGTCAAGTGATTATTTATTTTTTAAATGGTGTGTGGACTTTGCAGTCATAATTGTTCCTATTACTGTATTTTTTTGTGTTGCTTTGCAAAAGAGGTAATGACATAATTTTTATTTTGATCATGAGGGAGGTGTGAAATAGCCAAGTCATTAGTAAATAAGAGAGAAAAATAATTCCCATCTTTCCATAGTAAGAAAAAAAGTAAGTAATGCATTTAAGAAAAGGTGACTGGGCTCAAAGCTCACCTATCCTAACTCACTCCCTGTTGTACTTTGTTCTAGATCCTGCTGCAATTGCTACTGGAAAGAGCAGCTCTGGTTACTAATAAAGGTTAAAATTTGTTCTTCAAAAAGTTGTGCCAGTGTTGTGCTGTTTTCAGATCATTAGTAGCAGCTGTTGCTGTTTCTGTCCCCTGAACTTGACTCTAATTAGGCAGGTGTTAATAGTGTAGGAAGAACTGTCTCTCTGGCGTGCAGGCCGTTTTGTTTCTGTTGGGAAAGCAGAAGTGTCTATGAAGTGAAACACTCAAATGCACTGTGGCGTTCCTTCAGGTTTCATTGTTCACTGTTCTCCCTTTGAAAGGCAGAGCTGACTTAAAATGTGAGAGAACTGATCTGTGGTCAATAAAGGTTAAAATCTGTTCTTCAAAAAGTTGTGCCAGTGTTGTTTTCAGATCTCATCCACTCCCTCTCCTCGTAGCAGAACTGCTGTCGGTAACGCTGTCAAAGCCCAGCTTTGTACTGTACCTTTCCTTGGTCCTACTGCTGCAGGTGAGGTTTTGGTTTTTATCCTGGTCCTGTGAAGATGAAAGGAGGCCTAGGCTTTACTGTGCCACATTATTAATAGCAGCTGTTGCTGTTTCTGTTCCCTGAACTTGACTCTGTAATTAGGCAGGTGTTAGTAGTTTAGGAAGAACTGGCTCTGGCGTGCAGGCTGTTTTGTTTCTGTTGGGAAAGCAGAAGTGTCTGCAGTGTGAAGCACTCATATGAGTGCACTGTGGCATTCCACCAGGTTTCCTTGTTTATTGTTCTCCCTTTGAAAGGGTGAGCTGACTTAAAATGTGAGAGAAGCGATCTGCCGGCCAGTGACCTCGCTGCAGCTGGAGCCCTCACCTGCTCCTAATGGCTTATCCTGAGGAGCGCAGGCAGGCACTGCTGTTCAGACATGATTCGGTAATGAGCTGCAGGTGGAGCTGTAGGAGCTCAGTAGTGATGTTCCACTCGGTTAAAAAAAAAAACCAAAACATTTACCTTCTCCCTAAGGTTGCACTGCATCCTCTGTGTTCATATCCAACACATAAAAGGGAGAAGGCTAGATTTTCACCCTCAGGCTAGGGAGAAATTCCTTCGGTGGAGACAGAAGCAGGGCTAAGGAAACCGCGTGGGGAAGAAGGACTTCTCGACGCTTTCCTTCTGAACTGTTCGCTCCCTTTCCCGCGGCTCCGGGCTACGGCTGCGGAGTCGGAGGTAACGAGAGCCTCGGCTACATCCTGCAGGCGCCTCGGGAGAGGTTTCCCCCGGTCTCTGGGGAGAAGGGGGTGTCGCGGACGAGCGAGCCCCGTGGAGCGGGCGGGGCCCGCGGCCGCCCCGGGTCCGCCCCTGCGCTCAGCGCCGCGGGCGCGGAGCCCGCCCGGCCCCGGAGCGGAGCCGCTCCTGCCGCGGGGCCATGGCCCTGCTCCCGCGGCGCTTCCTCTGCTTCGTCCTGGGTAAGTGCGGGCGCCGGGACACGACTCCCCCGGGGCCGGTGGGGCGGCGGGAGAGGCCCCCTGGAAGCCCCTCTGCGTTGGGAACGGGCGTGCAGCCCCTGCCGCCTCCTCCCGGGCTTCACCGCTCACACCCTTCTTCCCTGAAACCCGGGGAGGCACCAGCCTGGCGTCGCTGGCGACACAGACGGCGGGTGGGAATCAAAAGGAGAAATTATCCCAGAACGCCGGGACACATCGCGCTTGGCCTGGGAGTCTGAGGTGATGATGCTGTTGGACACAGCCTGCTTTGTGTGGGATTCCCCGCTTGGTAGGTGAGAGGTACTGAGCCATGCTCCGCTGGCAGCCGTCCTTGCCTTTTGCTGCACATTTTTAATTACTGCTTTAGGAGTCTCTCTTCCCGTTCCTGAGCCGCAGGGAGAGCAGGCAGCCAGAAGTGCTCGTTCAAACAGGCTTCTCTCAGGTGAGGTCAGATGTTTTGGGTTTTACCGGCGATCGGGTTGGAAGTTCTTGTTGCCCAGTTGTTTTCTTGGGTGCAGTGTGCCCTGGTTTCTTTGGTGCTCCTGACATTTCAGCTGCAACAGGTAGAGACTTGTGCCGTGCTTGTCACCTGTGTACCCGCAGCAGAAAGCTCCGAGAGATCGCGTACATGTGCTCTCTAGAAGTGTGTTTATTTAATGTACTTAAACCATGCATCCTCGTCCTAACGCTGATCTTCCATGAAATCAAAGTGCTCCTTGAGGATGCACAGATTTCTCCTTCTTTCCCTTCTTTCTCCTGTGCTGGTTTTCCCCTCCAAACCCTGGTGAATAATGCACTGAGCTATGCTGCAGGTAATGGGCTTACCCGTACCCCCTGATTAACTATTTACCTCTCCTCAGCTGTGCAGGGGCAGGAGAAAGCTGTGCCCTTGGACGAGGCACGTTCTCCGTGCCGGGTTGCAGGGAAAGGCTGCGGGTCCCTGGCTGAGGAGTGAGTGGTCAGTGCAGAAACCTGTGCCTGGTTTTGCTGCCGGCGAGCACTAACTCCTGCTGGTTAGGATTTCTCTCTGCTTTCTTTTCCCAGTCAGTCTCATTTTCCTGACCCTTCCTTCTCTTGGTTTGGGCACTGTAACTGCTGAAAGCGAAGCAAGCAGGAGTTGCTGGTACTCCAGGCTGCTCCTTTCCACCTACAGTGGGCTTGGAAGCAGCAGGACGCTGCCTCTGCCTGATGGCAGCTAATCATGATGCTGTGGATGTGTTTGTCTTTACCTACATCCTTCTTGTGGGATTATTTATTTTTATTTTTGAGCACACTCTGTGCTGTTTAACAAAAAAACAACCTTTTTGTGCCCTTCTGCTTCACAGCCCTGCACACAGGCAGGGCTGCACGGAAATTGCAAGTGACAACTGAGTGCCCAGAAATCGTGGTAGAGTCATGAATTTTGATGTCACTGATGCTTCTGAGGAAGCAGGTGTTTTAAAATGAAAAAAATATTTTGAAAAGGGGAGAATACAAAAGGTGTGGAAAAAGCTCTGCTACTATATTTGCCAGGATTCTGCTAATGATCCTGCTGGCAGACCTGGAGTGCCTCTGCTTGACACCAGGTTTGACACTTGTGTGGGGAGCATCGTCTCTGTGCCTGTAAATCTTGCCACGCTCTGTTTCAGGGCCTCTTTGGGCCAGCAGCAGGGAGGGAGGGTTGGTGTTTTCACTGCCAGCTTGTGGGCCTGGCCGCTGCCTTAGGACACGCTCTCGGAGGCTTCTTCTGTCACTAACACACCTTCCCTTGCAAACTGTAGAAAGTTTTATGAGCACTGAGTGTGGTTTATAGTGGTCTCCTCCCCAGAGCTGGGTTTCTGGAGATGTGTCCACCTTTGTAGGCAGCTCAGCCTGAGCTTGGGGGCTTTCCTTGGGGCTGGTCCTGCCCCAGCTCCTGCTCGCTGTGTTCAGCCGTGCTCTGCTGCTGCAGCCCACAGCAGGATGCAGAAGTGGTTTTCTGTTTCGGAAGAACTAGATACCGTCTGCTGCTAGCTGGGAACATCCTCTGTGCTCTGTGACCACAGCCTCTGCAGGGCTCCTTGGAGGTGGGGAACAAGTCCCTGGCCTAAAGCTGGGCGAGCAGTACTGAATTTTTCATGTAGTGTGGGTCATGAGAGGATGGGATGACACAGGCCCTCTCCCTGTCACCATAAACCCCTGGCTGTACCAAAGCCACAGTCCAAATCCTGGCAGGATTGGCCAAGCATTCCTCCTGTGCCAGAAAAGCCTTTCTCTTAAAGCTTTAGGTAACTTCCCACCTTGCTGCAGGGTCTTTCAAAAGTGGTGATGGTCAGGGAATCGACCATCCTAAAAATAACCTTGGTCTCATTCAGCAGGCCTGAGATCCAGCTGTATCCCAAGGTAACCACTTCCATTAAGGTAAGATTAGGCTTTTTCGGTTTTTTGGCTACAGCTCCCTACAGAGGCTTCTCAGGAGGGGATGAGCCGTGGTCTTGTTCATTGTTACCGGGGCAGTAATGATTGGCACCACTTCAGCTCTGCACTGTATTTCAGTGTTTAAAGGCAGTACTGGGCTGTGCTACTCAGACTTCTTTTGGATTTAGAAAGCTGCATTGCAAATAAGGCTGGTAAAACATTAATATATCATTGATTCCCTCCATCTTCTGCCTATGCTGTACAGCACTGGGTTTGCATATTCTGCAGAAAATGACGCTTTCTTAAAAAAAAAGGTTTTGACACTGTTTATGACCTCTCCTGGAAAACAGGAAATTCTAAGTCCATTTGTATCCTCTCTTCAGCTGCTGGCACCCCTGGAGTCAGGAGAAAAGGTAGAAACCTTTGAAGTTCTTCAGAGTGTCTTTAATTGTCTTATCTGTGTGTATGAACAACATGACTTTGATCTGTGGTCCAGGATGCCTCTGGGAAAAGATGTGGCAATGAGAGGAGATGCTTTGGCTTTTCTGCACATGCTTGAGTGCCTGTGAGCCTATGAGAAGGATACAGAGGAACTTTTTACGAGAGCATGTATGGGAGAAGGGGGAATGGCTTCACACTGACAGAGGGCAGGGTTGGATTGCATATTAGGAAGAAATTCTTCTTTGTGAGGGTGGTGAGGCCCTGGCACAGGTTTACCCAGAGAAGCTGTGGCTGCCCCATCCCTGGAAGTGTTCAAGGCCAGGTTGGGTGGAGCTCTGAGCAACCCAGGCTAGTGGAAGCCCATGGCAGAGGGTTGGAATGAGATGGTCTTTGAGGTCACTTCCAACCCAAACCATTCTATGATTCTAAATTCCTGTTGCCCTGTAACCATCCTTAAACTGTTGTCCCTTACACCCTGATACCAAAGCTTGGAGCTTTGCAGGCTGTGGTCATCTCATCACTTGAATTTGCTGGACTCAAAAATAATAATAATAATAAGAAGAAATGATGAGCAGTAAAATAATGAGAAAAGGAAACCTCTGCAGGAGCAGCTTTGTGAGTCAGGCAGCTGCAGCGTTACTGCTAAATTTTGGGGGTATATTTATGTTTTCTCTTAGCACAAAGCACACTCAGTAATGACTGCCAGTGATTTGAGTGTCTCTTTTATAAAAGTGCTAAGACTTCCTTTAAAATCTAATTGAAGGCTATTGCATCTCTGGAAAAGTCCTCCTCAGTATTTAGAGCTTGCCATGTTAGAAATCCCCAACAACAAACTAAAATGTCCTCCTCCTTTTCAGAGTGTTTCTGGAGATGGAGAGGACTTGAAACTTTCTAAACATTAAAAGTATGTGGGTAGGGAAGAACAAATTGCCTCCACCCTGTAATTTCTAGTATGCTCCCATACGTGCCAGTTCTATTCCTGCAGAAACCAATGGCCTATGGATTTGGTAGGGTGGATGGAGGCTGTGTTATCTGGTCAGGAAGCCACTTGGGTTTGAGAAGTTGAATTGCATTTATTAACTCTGAAATGCTCTTGAATTAAAGAGCCATCAAGCACCGGCACTGTGATCTCCTATTTGTGATGACCTGGGAGGTTGTGGATAATGAAAATATAAATGCTGTGACCTGGTTGGAATGAAATTAGAGACCTCATAATGACTAATAATGGGGTTGGCATCCTTTATGTTTTCACGGGGCTGGGAATCAATATCAGATCATTGCAGAGTTAAGGGAGGTCTTGGAAAGCTGCAGGTGGGATTCTGGAGTTATTGCTCTGCACTGGCAGGTTCATTCTGCTTCTCTGGCCAGCTGTGAAGTCTGGCTCTGTCAGTGTTAGTGGGTGTTAGGGGGAGGTTTGGGCCCCAAAGTGATGGTTGTGGTCACAGCCCTTCCCGGCACAGACCCTGCACCAGGAGAGGACCAAAAACACCACTGGGTTGGAAGGAGAATAGCATTGAAAACCCCTTATAGGGGAAACAGAGCATGTTTTAGCTTGGTCAAATAGCTAAATACCTTTTTCTCTTCTAAAATATATCTGTGGCTAGGGTTTGCCAGGCTAATTCCCACTGTGGGTGGGTGAATACCAGAGAATCCTTGTCCCTGTCTGCTGTTGTGCTGCTGTGGGTGCTGCCTGCGAGCTGGCTGCTTTTAATCATCAAACCCAGTAATGAACCTGCTTAATGGTTTCAGTCCCTTGTCTCTGTGCTTCTACAACATGAGCTTTTGAGGATTTAAAAGCACATCTTGACACCTCAGGAAAGCATCCCAGCGGGGAAGTGGGCAGCAGCCTGGTTGAAAACCTCCAGATTTTGGCCTCTGGGCTTCCCTTTGTCCTTTAGGTAATGTTGTTGGGAAAGGGGCAGCGCTCTGTGTGTGAGTTGCAGAGAGGTGCAATGTCTGTGTGGTGTTCGACTGGAAAGAAAGAAAACTGCATCGAGAAATCTCTGTTAAAAGGGAAAATAAATTACTTCTGGGCTGCTCACACGGCTCAGCAACAGATTTTAGTCTGGAAACTCTGCGTTGAAAGTATTTAGTCAAGCTGCTGTTCTGTGCAGCCTGTGGTGAATGCACCAACAAGACAGACTATTGTTTTGGTGTTCTCCCTA